TAAAAATATATAGTAGTCTATATTACATTATTTGTCAAACATATATTCTCATTTTTAAGCCTTTGTAATTTTTGCTTAAGAGCTTGGTATCTAGCATGAAACTTGGTACATAGACTATTGTGAAACTCAACCAGCATGAATTACAAGGGAAATATACATGTGAAAATGACTCAGAAATGGAGTCAATAAAGAGATCTCACTGTCCATTATTTGAACTAATGCTTAAGGCAACTTAATAACTGCAGCTCATAAAACATTTTGGATCATAATTGATAATTTTTGGACATAATATTCTTAAGGAAATCCACTTCATGAGCAAAGAGTGATTGCTAAAGAAAGGAGAGAACATGGAAATATAAATATAAGTATAAATATAAATATAAATATAAATAAATATAAATTCTACTTCAAAGTCTGTTTTGGTCAGTGTATAAGTTTGCTAGGGCTGCCATAACAAAATACCATGAACTGGGAGACTTAGACAGTAGAAATTGATGTTCTCACAGTGATGGAGGTTGGAAACCTAAGATCAAGGCATAGACAGAGTTGGTTCTGAGATACCTCTTTCCTTGGCTGACAGATGGCCTCTTTCTCCTTCTGTCCTCATGTGGTCTTTTTTCTATAAACACACAGTTCTAGTATCTTGTTGTCTTCTGATAATAGTCATAGTAGATTAGAGCCCCATCCCCATTATTTTAACTTAATTAGCTCTTTAAGAATCATCCACAAATATAGCCACATTCTGAGGTACAAAGTGTTAGAGCTTCAATATACGAATTGTGGGGCAGGGGCACAATTCAGACTGTAACTTAAGTTGTTCATATGGGCCGAGGGACACTTGTTAGAAAAGTGGCAAATGATGGACATAAGACAAATGAGATGGGGCAGACTTGTTGCAGAGAGCTGCTTAGTTCAACTTGAAGTAGACAAAAATTCTCCTTGGATGCCTGGGAATATTTATGAGTTATAAGTAGAGAAATTAATAAGCTATATAAAGCCTTAAAACTGCACTAAGACTTCTGGAAATGGATATACTTTTCAGCACCCTTAGAAACTTTAAATTAAAAAATGAATAACCAAACTATAGGACAATTTAGTAAAGAAAATAAATTGACTATGCAAACTCATTATCTTTATAATAGTAACATAATAAAATAATAAGGTTTTATTTTCAAAGTGTGTATACCTAGAAACCAATCTAAGCTATAATTTTGGAGAGAAAAGTTTCAACATTAATTGATTCCAAAAGTATACATAGATGTTAAAGGCGACAAATTTGCTTATATAAAAACCCAAACATCTCATATTTTTCTCTTATTTACACAATTAAAGGCTAAAGCAGTTTCTATATATTTAAAATAAAGATTCTTGGCAATGAGTCAAGGATTTTTCACAGTCCTCTGCAAGCAGTGACAGAGTTTGACATGCAAAACCTATTTGTCTTTATTATCTGTAAGCTGGAAGAATAGAAATTGAATTCAAAAAAATATGTTGAACTTGCCAAAAGATGTATGTTGAGAGACAGTGTGTGCTTCATGAATTTAGAACTAAAATAAATGACTTAGTAATAAAGTAAATCCTTCCTGAGGAACTCTGGGGCAACATAACCAATTCTCTGATTATTCTTTCAATTCTCTCTTAGAGTTTGGTAATTCATTTTTTCATTAGGTATATGAGAAAATTTGATTTTTGTTTGTTTTTTTTGTGTGTGGTTTATTTATATGACACTAATAGGCATGACATTTTATGTAAATATACACATATATTTATTAATAGACTTTTCTAAGTTATAATTTAGTTATAATTTTTGAATATTTCAATATTTTAAATATTGTAAATTTACAAAAATGAATATTACTCTGCAAAAACAAGAAGACATGCCAACTAAAAACAAATATGGAGAATTTGCGTTCAAAATTATCATATACTTTGCTTTATGGACCTAATGTAGTGTTAATTCTGAATGCCAAGGATGTATAGAAAATGTCATATAATTTACTATGAACCTGTGCATAATACATAAAGGCCCCAATTAGACTTATGACACCTGAAATTGGAGTATGGTATGTCAAGATGCTCTGGAAGCAGTAGTAATTTATTTCTGTCTTTACATTTTCTTTCCATGATTATTCCAAAGAAGTGGAAAACAAAAAGGACTAGTAGTGGATCAAGGTGTATAGAAGTAGGAGGGCAGGGGGACACAGATAGGAGAATAAAAGGAAAGGCTAAAGAGGAGGAAACATACAGGAAACTATGTAGAAGAATATATGAGATGGAAGTAAAAAAAAATTGGACAAGGAAAAATAGAAGGAAGAAGGTGATCAAAGAAAAGATCAATATTTTATTGGGAAGAAGAGGCATGATAAAGAGAGAAGACCAGATGAGAAAACAGTAGGGAAAAGAGAGAAAAGAAGAAAAAGAGTAGGAGAAATATGCAAAAAAAAAAAAAAGGAAGAAAAGGGGAGAAGAAACAGAAGTCTGAAGAAGATGGAAAACAGCCATGATGATTTACAAGTATTTTCTGTGTCCAATAAGTATTCAAAATCTTGCATGTCCCTAGTTTAATGAATCCTTACAAATGTCTCTAAAATATAATTTTAATAACCTCATTGTATAGATAAAGTAAAAGAATTAATAAAGACATTAGTATACGGAATGGCTAATTTTCTGTTATAATGTAAACTAGTCTTTTATTTAGGATGGTAGTTTTTTTTTTTTTTTTAAAGAGAGAAAGAGTAGTTTAATGAACATTTATTGTACATTTAATCAAGTGAAAGGCCCCATCCTAGGCTGAGGGAAATACAAGTGAAGATAAGATTCAGCACTCCACCCCCATCTTTCCAGAGTAGTGGATACAGGTACAAGCTACTTTGTAAGGCAGGCTTTTTTTTTTTTATAAGTACCATATTTAATGCACAATTAAAATATTGTGGGAATGGACAGGAGATTCACTCAGAATGAAATTTTTGCTTCAAAGACCATTGCACCTGATTTTCTGATTTATAACTGTCACAGACAGTTCCTTAGCAGGAACAGAACTGCCTGTCCAAATGGCTGCCACGTCTCACACCCAAGCACCGGGCAGAAAAAGCACAGGTCAGACTAACCAAAGCACAACAGTGATTTACTTTCCAATGCACTGAAGGGCAAACTGTTGACAGACAAAACAGCTTTTTAATTAAGGTGTAACATGCACACAGCAAAGTGCAGGAACGAATGTGAAATTTGTTACTCAACACATTTTTATATATGACTGAGTGGTGGTAACACAAATGGACTTGAATTTAGTTGACTTCCTTCACAGTACAGACAGGCTTGATGTGGTACACAAGACAGCCATGGCAGGAGGGAACTATTAAAATTCTATACACTAGTACATATTTCTAGACTGACTGGTCTCTCACCAATCACTCAGCATATTTCCACTTGGATATGTATTTCCTGTGAAGTTACACCTTCATACCCTACTGCGTGGAGCAGCCTACCATGGCTTAAAGTTCCCTATATACCCTCATATACCCATGAAGTCACTTAACAACATTATCCAGAGCCTAGTTGGTACTATCCACCACGCTAAGTAGTGAACCAAACAAATGCAACTAACTCTTCCCACGCGTAGCATAAGATATTAGCTGGTAGGAGCTGATCTTTAACTATTTACACCAATAACACATCACAGTTATGTTTGGTGCTACTAAATAGAGGACAATAACGTTTCCAGCTGAAGAGTCTCATTTCCAGATCTGTTCATTTCAGAGTACTAACAAGATGTCTCGATCTAATGTGAGGAGTAGAAAAATGGTAAAAGAGAGCCCTAAAACATTAGGGGACAAATGTCATCAGCTCAACCTACTTAGAAATGGTCCTTTAAATTCTCAGGCCTATATCCTGAGCAAAGTCAGTCCCTTGGCAGATGAGATCTGAAACAAATTTAATAAGGTCAAGAATGAGGCAAAAAGGCACCTGCAGCATAGGATAATTTTGACCTTTGAAAGGGAAAAAGCAACTGTTACATTTTTTTGTACCACACCCTGTTGTTTCTGCCATGTCCCTTATTTTCTATATTTGAGAGGTTTTAAACTGTGGGCAACCATCTAGAAGAGTTTTAATAGCTGAAACAAAAATCTGCCTTATGAAAGAGAAGGAAAAACAAAAAACAAAGAAAGCATGAATTTTTCTAACCAGTAAATTCTCTATACACTGAGTGGCTGCAGAGTCACCAACAGTGGTGAAGCCACAGAGCGCCAAATTTCCGGCTCAACCTAGCAAGGACTTTTCTTTTTTTTTTTTTTTTAATAATTTTTATTTATTTATGATAGTCACAGAGAGAGAGAGAGAGAGGCAGAGACACAGGCAGAAGGAGAAGCAGGATCCATGCACCGGGAGCCCGACGTGGGACTCGATCCCGGGTCTCCAGGATCGCACCCTGGGCCAAAGGCAGGCGCCAAACCGCTGCGCCACCCAGGGATCCCATACTTTTCTGTTTTTTAATGAAAGTAGATACACCTGATGGCAGCTGAATATAAGTAATTCTTTTCTCTGTAAAAAATTTCTTTCTCTTAAAAATTTCTTCCCCATTGAACCCACAGTGATGATTGATAAATAAATTTGACTTTATAATGACCTAAAGAAATAGCCCAGATTGTTTCATTTAAGACAATAAATTTTGAAAAACAAATAAATGATTTGTATTTTTACTTTAAAATGAATTTGTGATTTCTGAAGTCTATGCCAAAGAACGAAGATGCCAAACAAATTCACTCATCACCACACATACAGTTAAGCTTTCTAAATGAAATCTCTTTAGTGTAAGATCAAAGACAGTCTGCTCATAGAAAATCCTCAAATGCTACCTATTCCAGCTCTTTAAAAGGTAGCTTTTGTTTCTCTGAGAAACAAGATACATCTAATGATACATAAAAGCACCACAGATATCTGAAATGCAGAACAACCAGCAAGCCATTATTCTTTTTCTGCAGAACAAGTAGGCATACATCACCTGTGTCTGAGACCATTTATTTTACTATTTCTATTTTTTTACTGGATGGGCTGTCCAAAACCTCAATCTTGCCTTTTCCATCTTCTGAATGAGGAAGCTTAATGTTATCTATGGTGACTTCAGAAGCGGTGCTATCATCTTCCTCCTCAGATTCTGAGCTGTCTGTCCTCCGAGCTGTCTTGCAAACTCTCTTCTGAACTGTCCTCTTCTTTGGAATTGGATTGATTCATCTCAAACAAGGCCACATCCATTTGTATGACTTTTCCAAGAGCCCCATCAATATCCTCAATATTGAAACGACCAGGTGATGCAGCTGCCATTTCTTTTCTAAGCTTTTCATTTGCCTGAGCCATCTGTGGGAGAAAGGTCTGCACTTGGTCCAACAAGGGACTCCTCTCTACCCGAACTGTTTGAAGAGTGGCATTTTTTCTGCAGTTAGGCTTGGGCTGGATGAGTAACCTGTCCCATATACCTCCGCGGCCGTCGCTCCCGGCCGTCAGCAGCTCCTTGGACACCGGGCCCGCCGAGCGTCCCCGGGGGCACGACGAGCAGCTGGCGCCGGCCTGGGGCTCGCCGCGGACCTCCATTCCGCTCACTCGGCCTTGCGAGCCCGCCCCCCCAGGCCCGGATACCGGAAGGTAGGATGGTAGTTTTGCTTTGTTTTGTGCATACCAACATCTAATAATTAATAGTCAACAATACTTTTGTATAGCTTGTTAGGAGCATAAGCTCATAACGACACCTATTTTGCAAAAACTCTAATAAATGTCAAAGGAGAAATTAAAAACAATACTTTATTAAAATCTTACTGAGAGATTAACAACTTTTCTCAACAGCAGTGCCAGCTACTGGGGAAGGTCTACCAGCCCTTGCATTGCAGATGAGGCTCCTATAGTTCATTGGCCAGGAACTTAGCAAACAAGCCACCAGAAGGGTTCAATATTTGTACCTGCTGCTTTAATTAGGTCATTGATCTTATCCTCCCTGACTGTCACCTCATTATCATTCAGGATGAGGGCAGAGTAGATGCCAGTGAGCCCAAAGCCAGAGGCCAGGGTTCAGACAAGTGTTGAAAGAGCATTGCCAGGCCTGGTGCTAGTTGACCGCAGGATGAAGTGAGGGCCTCACCCCCACATGGCCTCAGATTCCTGGGAAACACCAAGCACCTTAGTGGTAGCAGAGGAAAGCTACCATTAGCATTTTTATTAAGAGGTAAACTAAAGAAAAATATTTTTTATATAAAATAAAAGCAGCCTTTTAAATGAAAGAATTCTGAAGAGTGTCACCTAGGATACTGTAGACATTAATTAATGACTATTACACTCAGTGACATAGTAGTAAATGCTTAACTGGTTTTCAAAAATTAAAAAAAAAAAAAGTAGCCTTGACTACAAATGTTCCAACTATGGCAGATTTCCTGTAAATGGAGTTGGAAAGAGTTGTACCTAATTGGTTTCAGTGAGCTGGTATGAGCTAGCTCTGGTGCATCACTGCTTATATCTAAATAATGTTTGGAACACACAACATAAATTGTGTATAATAGAGGTTAAATAAATATTCACTAAATCAAGCGACATATAGTGGGTTCAAAAATTGCACTATTTTATTACAACTGTAGATTTCAGAATTGAACATCAGTTAAGTAAATAATTCATTCTAATGTAATATTTCCTTCAATATATTCACTTTATATTTTGTCAATAGACTCAATACCTGCCACTTCCCTTGAAAGATCCTTTATCTTATTTAAGTGAACTACTTTCAGTTTTGTAGTTTATTTATTCTCTCTCAACTTTATATCAATCTACCTACATAGTCTGAAGAGATACTCTATTGTTTTTCTTTATTTGTCTATGCTTATATGTATATATGTATGTTTATTTAATTATTTATTTCTAGAGTAGAAACAGTGTGTTTCTAATCTATAGTTAGTGCACACTTATAGCTAAGCTATATCTATCCACTATACACATATCTCTGTTTATCCTTACTCATACCAATATCCATGCCCATTCCATTTCCTCTGGTTTATTGAGATCTAACAATTTGTTATAATAATGTAAAGCTTTGTCTGTAATTCACAGTTTGAGCTAAATGACCTTAAAAACAATAGGACATATTTGATGTCTAAATATGAATTGATTTCTATCAAAATATAAATGTTAGCATTAGAGATTTTTCTTATTTGCATAAAAGAAAAAAGTTAAGTACCGTAAGACTCTACGCCCTTAAAGTGGTTAGTCAGAGAATGCTAATGAAATCAAAAGGAAAAGAAAGTCAGGTTTCTGATGCAGAAGATAAACTGTCAAAGTTTAGTTATTGGACTGTTACCTAGATGGAATTAAAGGTCCATATGAAGATAAAAATCCAAACATTTCTGTCTTCTACTGAATATGTTCTTTGCAATTCCAAAATAATTTTAGATACGTTTAATAAAGTACAAATAAAACAGAACAACTCATATGAGGGCAAAAACAGAAGTTTCAGGCCAAGAAAAGAAGAGATAAATGAAAATATAATATGGAAAAGAAACTGTGATTAATCAGTGCTTTGATTTTCAAGGCAGAAAAAAAAAGGACACATATTTCTTCCTTTCTTTTCTTAAGTTTACTTATTACTTTTATAATCTGCATACCCAGCATGGGGCTCAAACTCAAGACCCTGTAATCAAGAGTTGTATACTCTACTGACTGAGCCATCCAGAAGCCTCCATATATATTTTTTTAAAAGAAACCACCATTATATTTCTCAATTCAAAAATAATTTTTCCTCATATTCTTATTTAGGAAAATTTTAGCTAAGTTTTATCTGTGGATTAAATATTACCATACAATAATTAAGTAAATAAATAAATTAATTAATAGATAAATAAATTATATATATATTACCATACAATTGTTTGCTCATCATGTTTGCAATTATAGCTTCCATCATATGGAATAGTTTTTGTACAAGATTTATTATCCAAGTCCTAAATATTTAACAATGTCAATGAAACCTTACCACTTCTTCTCAGTGAGAAAATGGGAAATGATATTTATAGAGATGAAAAGAATTTCTTGTATTTCTAAAAGTTACTTTTCATTGTGATCAGAAATATTTCTGATAAGCATCTTTGAGAAATTGAAAAATGTTTTGTCCAGGTTATCTCTTTGCCCTTTAAAGATACATATTTGGTGTGTAGCAATGAAAAGCTTATGGGACCCATGAAAAACATTTAGTCAAGTTAAAGTGTGCCTAATAATAGAATTTGGAAGGGCTTGAAGATACATGTGAGGTTAGGACAGAATTGACTCCAAAGAGCACTATGAAATACACTAATAAATTTTCACTTTCAGCTTTCCACTTTTATTTCTTCGTGCTCCTTTGACTCTCTCTTCTCCATATAATACATCTCTTTCTTTCTCTTATACACTACTAAAATATTATATGGACATTCTACTCTTCAGTCAGATAGTTCTTTCTACTTTTAGTATTGGCCATGGAGGGATCAGAACATAGTAGAAAGAGCCCAGAGCCTAGAAATCATCCTGTTCATTATGTTCACATTTGGAGAGACGTTAAAAGTAACAAAACAGAGGAAGAATTTAGGCATGAAAGAAAACCTGAACACAAAATTGAGCAAACTCTGAAATGCTGAGTATGAGAGAAGGAAGAAAGCATATCCATTTTGTAAGGCAGTTGCTGAGTACATAGCAACATCTACCTGCTTCTATGGTAAACCATTAACCAGAACATACCGCAGGAGGTAGCATTAGGTAACAACTGAAGCTCAGGTAGACAGTAGACATCAGCGTATTCAGTGAAATAATAATGTATCTTAAAAGGCATTAGAATGTGGTGACATAGAACCCAGGAACAGATGGTACTGTGCAGTGGAAATTGGCAGAAATTCAGTCCCTTCAAGGAATTATATCAGTAAATATCAGGCTTCCAGTCAACTCAGTGGGTTTAAAGAAAGAATTTTGATTACCTGAAAGGGTAGAAAGAAAATTGGCAAGACTGTAGTTCAGAAACAATCAGAATGCCTGGGAGCTTCTCTAGGTATGGGTAAAGATCAATAACAAGTTAATTAAGGACTTAATTAATTAACTTAAAAATTTAAAAATAAACTTCAGGGATGAAGAGCCAGTTGGGATCAGCAAGAAGAGCTGTTTATTTTTTTTAAAGATTTTATTTATTGGTGAAAGACATAGAGAGAGAGAGGCAGAGACATAGGCAGAGAGAGAGAGAGAGAGAGAAGCAGGCTCCATTCAGGGAGCCCGATGCAGGACTCAATCCCAGGACTCCAGGATCATGCCCTGGGCCAAAGGCAGGTGCTAAACTGCTGAGCCACCGAGATATCCCAGGAAGAGCTGTTTAATGCTGATCCTTAGAGCGTGGAATAAAAAGTATTTAACCTTGAGTTGTAAGATAACATATAAGGCATGAAGTAAATTTGAGAATCTGATAAATATTGAATAATTGCAAACTTGGGACATAGTTTTACTAAAAATTTATTGTTTATCTGATTAAAATTTAACTGTGTCTTCTTTTGTGTATATTTCTGAAAAATCTACCAGTCATGATTTAATGACAACTACATGTGAGAAGCTAGCCTGTGCATTGCCCCACACCTAAATCTGTCAGAGGAGACAACTTTAGAACCAACTTTGGAGAGAAGAATGCAGTTGGAGTTTGGGAATGAAGCAGTCCCAGGAATCTGTTTGTTATAAGTCTTAGATCTGAAGCTGATTTCCTTGAACTATTAATTCTAAATAATGATTCAGGATAAAGTGATCCCTTGATTTATGTTGAGCGTTGCCATATATGCAGCCTGCCGTGAATTATAATTTCTACTCTGTAGCATTCAGTGTAGGGTAACCTGCCATAATTTTTGAAGTCGCTACATTTAAAAACAAGAAGAATTTTTTAAATGAATCCAAGTTTGAACTGCAATTTGAGTTCTACAATAACATTTATTTCATAATGTCCATAGTTATTGCGAGCTTTTAAGTTCTGTAAGAGCTTATCTGTATGCAAATCTTCTTGATTTGTCTAAGAAATGAATTATGCCACTCATATAAAATCATCAAGAATGATCGTATCCAGTAATGGATGAATAGATAAAGACAATGTTTTACACACACACACACACAGGATATTATTCAGCCATAAAAAAGAAGGGAATCCTGGCATTTGTGACAACATCTATGGACCTTAAGGGTATTATGCTAAGTATAATGTCAGACAGAGAAAGGCATATACTGTATGATTTCTTTCGTATGTAGAATCCCAAAAATCCAAACTCATAGAGTTAGAGTAGAATGGTGGTTGTCAGGAGCTGGAAGGTGGGAAAAATTGGGAAATATCGGTCAAACCACATAAACTTTAACTTACAAGACAAAGAGGTTCTGGGGATCTAATATACATAATGGTGACTGTAGTTAACAATGCTGCATTACATACTCAAAAGTTGCTAAGATTAGATCTTAAATGTTCTTGCTGCAAATAAATAAATAAATAAAGTAGTTACATGAGGTAATTAATAGATGTGTTAATTTATCGTGGTAGTCAGTTCACAATATATGTTTGTATAAAATCATCATGTGCATTTCAAACTTAGTT